GGGGGGGGGGGGGGGGGGGGCGGGGGCGGGAGAGAGTCCGCGTCTCTACCGTCGTCCCGCCCACTCTCCGTCCGGCCACCCGGGGAATTCCAAGCTCCCTGTGAGGACAGACCAGGCCCGGCCCAGGGCCGAGCGCGACCCCGAGGGGACCCGAGGGCGGCCTCCCCTGGGTGGGTCTTCGCGGGCATTTCAGACTCGGGGGGCCTGGGTAGAGACCCCGGTCTCACTCTGCTCTCCTGGAGCGCTGGCCACGGACCCTCAGCGTTCCCAGCACCCCGGGCGCTCGCGGAGACCCGCCAAGCCCGGCCCGCGGGACGCATTTCCACGAGGCTGACACCCCCACGAAGAGCTCGGGCGTGTGACCTCAGCCACGCGGGGCCCTCCCGCTCGAGGACGGCTCCCCTGGCGGCCCGGGTCACCCCGAGTTTGCTCCCTAACTTGACTGGCATGAGGGGCCAGGCCCTGAGGCTTCTGCCCTGCCCGGAGAAGCAGCAGGTCTGTGGTGCGGAGGCCCAGGGCTGGGGGCGGTTTGGCAGTGGGGCTCCTCAGTGGGGGCCTGCCGCGCTCTCCTGGGCCACCCCCATCAGCACGAACGGGACCGGTAAGGCCTGGCCAGGTGAGCAGCCCCAGGGAAGGTGCCAATGCTGCTCTGAAAGAGAGCTCTGAAATGACTCATTTCCAAACAGTAAACGCATCTTTTATTGACACTCTAACAGTGCGGCCCCATTTCCTCGCTAGGATTTAACAGTCTAGAGCTCTGCTGTGGTCGTCGGTGGAATGGATCTCGGAGCAGTAGGCCTGGGGCAGGCGCTGGGAGTGTTTCAGAGGCTGCTGGGAATTCCCGGGGAGTTAGCTCAGGGCTTCCGCTCGGGAGGCCACCCTGTTAGGCCTTGTTTGCGGATGAGCTCGGTGGGTGTCTGCCCCATGCCCCCCAGGCCTCGAGACTCACAGGGTGAGCCCTCACCTTGATCCGTGACCTGGGAGGAGTTGCAGCCAAACCGAAGGAAACACTGGGCAAGACCTCAGGCCTGACCCTGGCTGACTCCCTCGGGGTCCTTCCAGTGGCCGCAGGAAGGGCTGCCCGAGCCCCTTGCTGAGCTCTTCACTTCCTGAGGCTGGTGGCCCAGCTGTTCTGCTCAGACCTAACCCCCACCCCCCACCCCCAGGAGCTGTCCACTATGCAGGTGGGTAAGCCCGGGGCTGTGCTTGGCCTGGCCGTGGGTGCCCCTATTGGGAGCCCCTCCTTTGCCCCACTCATCCTGTGGGGACGTGTCCCTGGGCGCAGTAAGGGGCCCTGGATTAGTGGCTGCTGAACTGACCACCTTTTGGGTGGGGTCCCTGACCACCTCTCCAGCACCAGAGTCAAGGCATGGCTCAGAGGGAGGCCCAGCCGAGGCTGTCCTGGGCTCTGTGCACCCAGGCCCAAGTTCACCTCTGGGCAGGGACCCTTGGAGTGGGGAGGTGTGACCCTGTGCGAGGCCATGACCTGTTGGGCAACCCACCCCTGCCTGCCGCTCCCTGGAGCAGCATGGAGGGGAGGGAGCTCTGAGGACACGTCTAGGGCAGGACCTCCTTCCAGTCACGTCTGTGGTTTTTGTGTATCTGCCAGGGCCTGGCTGTGCCCAGGGCCGTCCCCAGAAGGTGGTAGGTTCACAGAGAAGCCCCAGCCCAGGTGGGCTGAGGCCCCCTGGCCTGGAGAAGAGCATCTGGAGGCCCCGCTGGGTCCGGGAGCAGAGCCTGGGAGAAAAGTCCCATTGACACCCCTGGCGGGCGCGAGACAAAGGACCCCTGTGAGCTCAGTGTGGGAACGCGCGGCCGCCACCTCGAGCCATGAAATCGGCAGCTCGGTGCCCCTGGCAGGGACGGTGCGGCTGGAGTGGCCACAGGAGCGTAGCCTGAGGTCGCTGCCCGCCCCACCCTTGCTTCGGAGCATGGGTCAGACGGGTGTAGCCCTGGCTACTCCCTGGGCCTCCCCCTCAACGCGCTGCTCGTTTGTGGGGCTGGGGTGATGGCCACCCTGTCCACCTGTCCACGGGGAGCCGATGGAAGGCCCGTGGCTTCTGCTCCACCGCGGCTGAGGGTAGTTTTTCTCGGGGTCTCTCTGGCCCACGCCCCATGTGCCCGGAGCTGCCCTGTTCAAGGACAGGGCAGGGAGGAGGGACATGTGGGGCTCCAGGAATCACTTGCTCACGTTTGCTGAAGGACACGTCCAAAAGGAGGACGTTTGTTCCAAATGCCTTGCGGGGGGAGGGGGCGGGGGGAGGAGGCTCATCCCTGCAGACCCAGTCCTGGGGCTCAGAGAAGCCCCTCCCATGTGCGTGGCATTCCTTGGTGGTGTGGTCACTTCCACAAACAGGCAGGGGGCTCACTGGCTCTGAAGGAGAAGCCCTCAACCTGGATCTGGGGGGACAGGCCCCACCCTGACTACAAGGCTGGACCCCTGTCCTCCTGGGAGCTGGCCCAGGGGTGACACCCTGGAAGGCCATGGTGGGATGGAGTCCAGGGCTGGAGAGGGCTCCCTCCTCCTTCTGGGGACCCCTTCTGGGGTCCTCCTTCTGGGGACCTTCCGCAAGGCTGGGAAGGTCTGGGAGGGGCGGCCGGGAGAGGACAGTGTGGAAGGGGCGATGGCCAGAGCTGGGCCGAGGCCCGTGGCCACCTTAAAGCGCTCGGCAGGGGTGGGAGGGTGAGCGGGCAGGCGGGCAGTGGGGGCGGGGCTTCCAGCTAATTCATTAAAATGTGTCGGGGAGCGTGGGAAAGAGGAGAGCGTTTCTTCCCAGCAGCCCAGACACCTGGTAGAAGGGCCGAGAGGATAGAGATCAAATAACACACGCTCAGCCCCGGGCCAGCCGCGGCCTGAGCGGAGGAAGGACGCCCGGGGCAGGAACTGCAGCAGACAATCGCTGCAGCGGCAGGCCTGGCACCGGGGCCACAGCCCACCCTGTCGGCCTGGCGTCTGACCCCTAGCCCAGAAAGGGGCCTGAAGCGGTCACGGGGCAAGGAAGGCACTTCCCGATGGGCCAGGACCAGGGTGGGGGCTGGGGCCTAGGGTGGGCTGGCAGTGAGCGGGTGAGGCCGGAGGGTCCCCGGACAGACGCAGCCAGTGTGGGCAGCAGAGGGGTGGGGAGGCGGGAAGCCCAGCTGGATGGGGCGGGCGTGGCGTGAGGACCAGGTCCCAGTCAGCTGTCCTCTTCTCTCCCTAGCGGGCTGAGCAGGGGCAAGGGCAGAGTGGAGCTGGGGCCGGACCTGCCTGGCGGGCCTGGAAGGACACGGGCCCTGTCTCCCTGAGCCTGTGGTCCTGGCCTCTCCCTGGCTCCGGCCTCTGTCTGTCCAGGGCCGGCTGCGACACCAGGGCCTCGGGTCACAGAAGAGTCTCCAGGATGCAGCTGGGCTGCGGAGCGGAGCCGGCACCCCCGGCTGCTTCCTCTTAACCCGACGGCGGGAAGGAGTGTGGACGGGGCTGCCGTCCCAGGACAGGACGTGCGGCTGGAGGTCCCGCTCTTGGAAGCGGCAGCCCAGCGCGGAGGGTCCCCAGCCTGGTGGGCGCCCGCTCACCCGGCGCCCCTGCCCGCCCCTTGGGCTCTGGCCTCGGGGTGGAGGAGGGCTGCAGTGGCAGAGCCGGCCCTGCACGCGGCCCACGTCCCTGGGCTGGCCTTCCTCTCTCCACCTGTGGGGCGACGCCCTGGCCCAGCAGGCCCTTGGGTTGCCGCGGAGCTGAGTGGGTCAGTGCTGGGCACCCGGCGGGGGGCTGTACCCTGGGGGGCTCAGAGGCATTGGCCACCCTCGTGTGGTCAGGAACAGAGGGACGGGGCAGAGGCCGGCATGGCACCGTCCGTGCCCCGTGGGCCTGCAGGTGTGCCCCGCCCTGGGGAGAGGCGGCACCCTCCCCCGCCCCCCGGCCCCGCCACTCCGAGGCTTCCGCCTGGCTCCTCAGCAAATCTGAGCTGGTTTCCGCCCCGGGGCAGGAAGGACAGGAAAGGGATGTGAGCCGGGGTGGGTGCGCATTCCTGGGGGTGAGCCAGGAGGAGGCAGGCGAGGGCAAGACGGGTCTGTGCCCAGGCCCTCTGCTCGCAGGAGCCCCGACCCGGCTCCACCGCCCGGCCCTGTGGGCCCTCTGGGTGTTGGCACTGGCTCTGAGCCTTAGTTTCCCTTGGGGGGGGGGCGGCAGCTACTCCTGCCGTCGGGAGGATGGAGGCTCAAACGCACACATGCTCAGGGCCCTCCAACACGGTGCCGCCTGCTGGTCTCGCTCACGTGAGGAGGCCACCCAGCTCTGAGCCTGCGTGAAGGAAAGAGGCCCTGTGAGGACATGGCCCAGCTGGGGCCTGCTCCCTAGGAAGGGCCCCCATCCACGCTCACTGGAGTCTGAAGTGCCGGGAGGGTCTCGAGGGCGGCCCGGCTGGGCCCTGGGCCCACTGCCGGGAGTGAGTGGTGCGGGGGCCGGCGCGTACCGCCACAGCAAGGTGGGTGGACCACGCAGAACATGGGGCCCAGCCACCCGTCCTGCACCCCTCCAGCCCTGCTGAGCGCCAGCAGACTTGGGGAGCGCACCCCGGTGCGGCCCTCGGGCCTCTGCCCAGGCCGTTTCCTCCTCCAGGCATGCCTCCCGAATGCCTCCTTGCTGAGCGCTGGGCAGTTCTTGGCTCGGGGTCCAAGCCTCCTGACTGCGAGGAAAGCTCCGTCTTCCCGGGACAGCTGCGAGGGGCTGAGCGCGCTCGGGGCTGCTCGGGGCTATGGGGTGAAACGGGAACCAGCAGCGGGAGTCCACGGCCACCACCTGTGCAGCTTTTCCACTTTATTGCCGGCTGCCTGGGCCCCCAGGGGTGACGCAGGCCACGGGGGCATGGGCCCAGTCCTCAGGAGGGGCTGCCGGCTGGGCTGGGGGCTCTGCTCGGCTCGCGGGAGCCGGGGACACCTTCCAGAACCTCTCGGAAGTTCTCGGCGACTCGGCCCAGGTGGGAGCCCTCCCAGAAGACTTTGCCGCAGCCCGTGCAGCAGTAGAAATGCCGCAGCCCCAGCCTCCGCAGCACGCCTGCCGGGACCCCCGACAGCTGCAGTCGGGTGCCGTCGCCCAGTGTGGCCGGCACGCGGCTCTGCAGGTCCTCTTCCTCCAGCCAGTGGCAAGAGGGCTCGTAGGTGCAGCCCCCAGGGGCCTCCTCTGGGGCTGAGCCTGGACAGGTGGAGCAGCCACCCTGAGCCCCCGCCCTTAGGCATGCGGCCCCCACCCCACTCTCTCCAGGGGCCCCTCCTTCCGTTTCCCTAGCCACCCCACCCCCTGCCTCTCCTACCCAGGGACCTCTGGGTGACAGGCGACTGACCCCTCTGTCTTCCCAGCCCTCCCTGACACTGCCCCCCAACCCCCCAGGGCACAGGGACCATCCCCTCAGAGTGGTCCCCTCTGCCCCATCCTGGGGTGGGTCCAGATGCCAGGGCCCCTTGTGTCCTTGGTGGGTGGTCCCAGGACTCACCTGTCTCCCGTTCATCCTCGATTTGGGCGGCCTCGTCACCTCTCAATCAAGGATGTCAGGGTCTAAGGATAGACTGGCAGCCCCAGCGCCCACAGGGCACCTTGAAGTGCCCAGCCTTTCCCCCACCCCCAGCAGAGAGGGCAAAGGGCAGGGGGCCAAGAAGCTTTGGCGCCAGCCCAGTCCCCTCCCATGGGAACTCACACCTTGGGAGGTTCTTGGGGCTCAAAGGTCCCTGGGAACCATGTTCTGGGCGTAAGATCGGCCGATTAGGGCACTTGGGGGCCTGAGAACCGGCGGGCAGGGTGGGGTGGGGGTGGCCCGTCGGTGGCGATGAGCAGATAAGCCCACTGCCAAGGAGGGAGTTTCGCAACCAGCCAGCACCAGGTCGGTGGGCGGGCAGGGGCCCAAGGGACCGCTGGAGCTCAGGGTGGGGGAGAGACCCCGGGAGGTGGCCTCCTCCTGACCCTGCGGGAGGGCCCCACCCGCACTGAGGGCACGATGTGATGGCCAGACCGGCAGCAGCCAGGGGCCAGTGAAGGATGGAGGCGGCGACGGCCGAGGACCCCTGGCCAGCAGGTGGGAGAAGCGTCCCCCAGGCCCGTTGACCCTCGTAATTTGCTTGGCAAACATTTCTTTGCAGACGGTTCCAGATTAACTGCAGCCAGATCTGAATGGATGAGGCGCCCACACCAGCCCTGCCGCCCCCGTGGAGCCCAGCGAGGCCATGACCTCCGTCTGGCCTCCCTGCTCTGCCACAGCCTGTCTGGCCCCAGACCTTACCTGCCAGCTCGTGAGGGTGCTGCCCAGGACAAGTGTGAGCCTCTGGGTGGGGTGTCGGGGGCTCGGCGGGCCTGGAGCCCCGGGGGGGGGCCCTGTGGGGGGCGCTGCTTGTGCCCTGTCCCTCCCCCCAGCCTCCAGCACGTCCTGGCTATGCTGTGGAGAGCTGAGAGCTGCACAGGGCCGGACACAGGCCGTCGTGACAGCTCAACCACTACGTGGGTGGCTCCAAATCTCCAAGGGAGGCGGGAAGGACACTGAGAAGACAGCTGGAGGAACACCAGCTGTGCAGAGGCGCCCGGAGGCACCCCGGCCTCAAGCTCACCCCTTCGGCTGCCCCAAGATGCCCTCTGTAGCCACCCCATCCTGACCTCCACGGAGGGAAACTGAGGCCGGGCCCCTGAATAGGACCTGCCCTGGTGGGGGTGGACAGCGGGGCTCGCCCTCCTTCCTGTGCACCCAGGCTCATCTACGTTCAGACCGCTACTTGGCAAGGCCAGCGATGCAAGTGTACGCAGGTGAACGTGTGCGCTCTGCCCGTGTGCATTCATCTGTGTGCGCACGTGACCGAGTGTGCACGGACACACGTGTGAGAGCGCATGTGCCAGTGAGCGTGTGTGTGTGTCTTCATGTGCAAGATACACGTATGCGTCCGTGTGCGGGTGCGCTCCACGTATGGGGCAGGGTGACTAAGCAGGGCCCACTGCAGAGAAAGTGGGGGACACTACCCCGGGGGCCCTGAGTGCCAGAGCTTCCTGGTCTCCTGGACCAGTGGCCTGCACACCACACAGAGGGGAGCAGAGGCCGCGGCCCTCGTCCCGGCCCTGGACACTGTCCACCCCCACACCCCCACCCTGGCACCGGCACCTCCCTGGCCGTCCCCGGAGGTTAGCCCTGGGAGCACCCAGCAGCTGGGCCACTGCCCACAGACTCCACGGAGCCCTCTCCTGAGCAAGGCACACTCACCTGTACTGCTAGGGCCTTCTGGGTGGCCGCTGAGCCACACAAGCTGCTTCATTACATCCTTGGAGACCTTCAGGTACTGGTGACAGTTGCAAGCCTAGGGATGGAGGAGGTGCTGAGTCTGTGGAGGTGCTCTCCGTCCCTCCAGCCCCAGCCCTGTGTTCCTTGCAGCTCTGGGTCTGCCCAGGGGGTTTCACAGAGACACACGACACCTCCCTTCCTCTTCTTGCAAGACCATGGGGCGCACCACGTCCTGGGAGCCCTCCCTGACTGCATGGGCTCCAAGTGGGCCCTGGGCAGGCTCTTCTAATTCCTAAGATGCTAGAGGCCTCTGCCATCACCCAGCTGTCCTCCCCAAATCCAGAGCCAAGCCTGGGCCCCCTGGGATGGTTCAACATTGGTGGGGGACGCAGGCCCAGCATCGAAGGGTCAGGGTGGGCAGCCCTAGAGCTGCTCTGACCCCTCAGCCCATTTTGGGGCATGCCGGAGCCATTTCAGTGTCCACACTTTTTTTTTTTTTTTTTGTGGTACGTGGGCCTCTCACTGTTGTGGCCTCTCCCGTTGCGGAGCACAGGCTCCGGACGTGCAGGCTCAGTGGCCATGGCTCACGGGCCCAGCCGCTCCGCGGCATGCGGGATCTTCCCGGACCGGGGCACGAACCTGTGTCCCCTGCATCGGCAGGTGGACTCTCAACCACTGCGCCACCAGGGAAGCCCGTCCATGCTTCTTGACTCCTGCTGCCTGCCCTGTGCCAGGGGCTGGCATGGTCTGGCGGCTCCTGGACACCGAGTGTGTGAGGGGCAGAGGAGCAAAGCCATTTTCGCTTCCACGCAGAGTCCAGGTCGAGGACACGTAGCGGGCTCAGCCCCACCGACCTTACTGTCCCCGAGGGTGAGGGTGGGGGTGGGGCTTGTGCGGCCCATCCTGCACTCGCATTGTGGCCACCCTGGGGCTGCTCCATGACAACCACTGCCTGGCGGGGTGTCAGGTCTGGACATAAGATTCCCAGAGCGAGGCAAGAAGATGGGGTGGGGGGCCCGGGCGCCTGCTGAAACCCAGCTCCCAGGCGGGTACATGCAGGTATCCTGTCACGGGACGGGGGGTGAGCCTGTCCACGGGGAGGAGGGACCGTGATGGGTGCTCAAGCGACGGCTCCGGGCCCCCTCCTCACCTGGTGAGCCCTGTCAGTGCCCTGGACGACAGAGCGCCTGGGGTGGGTAGTAGGCGGTGGCCACGGGCTCCTAGAGCCACGGGCTTGGGGCGGGGAGAGGGCTCCTGCCCTGCCCCCCCACACCCTCTTCCCACGGCCTTTCATCACGGAGCCTGCTTTACCTGTGGCCTCATTGCCTGGCCTCCAGCATCACAGCCCGGGGTGGCAGGGGGGTGGGCAGGCGCCAGAGGGCAGGGCCACCTCTGCTGGGAGGCTGGGGGGGCGAGGCTGATCCTCACGCAGGACCCTCCCCTGGGTCTCTCTGGGGGGGCCTCCCCCCACCGACCGTGGCCAGACTCTGGGCCGGCCTCCGGCACAGGAAGACCGCTGTGGGCTTTGCCCTCCTGGTTGCAGGTCCAGGGGCTCTTGGGGCAGGAGTGAGGGCAGAGCCCGGGCTGCAGGTCAGGCCAGTGGTCACTCCAGGTCCAGCTGGGGACGAAGCTGAGAAACGCCGGGCCGTCTAGCCTCCGGCCGCTGCCCTGGGCTGCCTGCCACAGAGGCCCAGGCTCTCCCTGTCCAGGCCACCCGAGGGGACAGCACCAGCAGGTGTGGGAGGGACGGCTCAGCAGGAGGAGGGTGGGGTGGGGTCCTCTGCGAGGGGTCCGCCAGCCTTCCCAGGACCGGCGGTGTGCACGCCTGGGCGGGGCTGCCAGCTCACGCTGAGTCACTGCGCGCAGACAAACACCCGGTGCTGTTGTCCGGAGGGCCGGCCCCACCCTCGGGAAGCGCCGGTGCTGGTTTTCCCACGGCCGCCGCCGCTGCCCACTGTCGGGTCTTGCTGCCACCCTGGCCCCCACCCCCACTCCCGGCTGGAAAAGCCAGTTCTGGGCCACCTGCCCATCCCCCGTCCTGTGGTCCCCCAGGGCTTCCCTGTCCACCTCACGGCCCAGCAACGCTTGCCTCACCGCCTGCTGTGGGTGGCTGCGGCCCTGCCCTTGTGGGGCTCGGAGCTGAGCGCACACCCATCACCCTCCCCACGCAAAGGGGGACGGAGCCCCTGACCTCCCATCACAGAGAAGGGGCCTCCGAGGGGCTGAGTAGCTTGCTCACGGTCACACTTTGGCTGGCCAGGACCCCACACCTGGCAGGGTCCTTACCCCACCAGCCCCCAGCCGAGGGGATGCGTGCAGGTGGTGTCTGAGCCAGGTCCACCTCCTGCAGGGGATGTGCAGACCCCAGCCTCGGATACCAGCAGATCTGGGCAGACGCCAGTGGGGGGCTGTGGGCGCCCTGGACTGGTGGACAGTGTGGTCTTGTTAGTCCCGCCCAGTCTCCTTGCCCCCATCCAGCCTGGGAGCATGGGGGCAGGGCGGGCCTCCACCCCCAGAGCCTGGCTGGGTGGGAGGGGCCAGGTGAGTCGGGCAGGAGGGGCTGGGAAGGTTCCTGGCTCCCCTGTCCCAGGGGTCCACCTGCATGCCTGGTTGCCACAACTTCCAAGGGTGCTTGGGGCTAACGTCCACCGTGACGCCCAACCCCAGGGCGTGAGGCTGCCTCTCCGGGGCTGGGCTGCTGGCCGGGACTGGCCCAGGGGACTGGTGGTGGTCCGGGACCCAAAGCCAGGTGGGCCAGGCCTGGTGGTCCGCCCTCTACGGCCTGTTCCCTCCCCCCAGGCCCAAGGAGGGCAGGAAAGGCCACTTCCCTGGGAGGCACCCCCAGCCCTTCGCTGGGCTTGGCGGGTGTGCGAGCTGGCACCCTCCGTTCCTCTAAGACTGGGACTCGGGGAGGGGGAAGCTGGAGGGCTGAGGGGTCGGTTCCCAGGTGCTGGGAGCCATGCCCACGAGCAGGCCAGCTCTCAGCTCTGAGCCCAGGAATCCCACCCCCACCCATCACTCTCCCCGGGGAGTGACTGCCACCAGTGCAGCCAGAGCTGAGCAGGGGCGAGGTCACGGGGTCTGTCCTGAACTGTGTGTCCCCAGGCACGTCTGCTCCCACCAGCCGTGGACGCACACTTGCCGTGGTCCGTGGTGTCTGCTGTGCCACCAGGTAGTGGACGGCTGGTGCACCGGTGTTGGGAGTGGGGAGAGGGCTGTCACAGGCAGGCCTGACTGGGCCACAGAGTGCGGTGGGAGGGGCCTTGCACACGCTCCTGCCCAGAGCCCACCAGCCCCTGCCAGGGCTGAGAGCAGTGCCGTGCAAACTGCTTATAAACACCCTTGGACCCCCATCAGCCCCTGGCCTCCCCGAGTCGGGGGCTGAGGGGGGCGCGGTGGGAGATGGGTCTCACCAGGGGCTGCCAGGGCACAGGGCGTGAGAGAGGACCAGTGGTCCCTAGGGGACAGGGCGGCAGGAAGTGGCCTTTCCAGGCTGGGAGCCTAGTGGAGGGACCCAATTCTGAAGAGGACCTGGGCAAGGCTCCCTGCCCAGCCAGCAGCCGGCCTGACCGTGCTCCCTGGTAGGCCAGCCGCTCTCCCTGCCCTCAGGCCCACCACCCAGTGGGATGTGAGGTACGGTCAGTCTGGTACCCAGGCCCCAGGAGACCCCACAGGCAGGGAGGAAGGGGGCTTGGGCTGAGGAGCTGTGACACGCTCTAGAGTAGTGGCCCATTTCTCGCTCACTGAGAGCAAATTTACAGCAAAGCATAAAAGAGCAGAAGAAAATAAACATCATCCCCGTACGACCACTGGGCAAGAAAAGCCAGCATGGGGTGGCGGGGTCTCTGGCACCTTCCCGTACACACCTACACTTGGCAAGTGTCTCCTACTCGTGCCAGAGGAGCTGCTGGGCACCAGTGTCAGTTCCCAGGGCCCTATGGCCCATTTGGTCCCTGCCAAGCACCACCCCCTGCCCCACCTTGCCTGAGGTCCTGAGGCCGGTGGGTCCAGAGGCCTCCCTAGGCTGGCTTGTGCACCATGACCCCCCAGAGCTGCCCCCAACAAATGGTGCAGGGCCAGGGACAAAGGGCTGGTATGAAAGACCCCTGGCCTGGGGGCGGGCCTGACACCTCGCGGACAGGCAGACGAGGAGGCGGCTGTGGAGAAAGCAATTAGGTGCCGCCCTGGGTCGGCTCCACACCTCACTCTCCCACACTGTCCGGCAGCAGTTTGAGGGGTCCTGGGTCAGCTGCCCCCCAAGTGCCCGGGGGGGTGGGGCTGTGAGCCTCCTTCAAGACAAGCTGGCCTGGCCCAGGAAGGCCCTGCTGGCCCTGGCACTGGGTTGGGGGCTGGGAGAACTGCGGCCCCTCCCGTCACAGCCGAGACCCCAGGCACTTGCAGGGTTCAACCCCCCACCTGCCAGCCAGGGGCACAAGCTGGGGCAGCAGGACCAGGCCCCAGGCCCCCGGGGAGGTGTGTGGTTGAGATGGGGCCTGCCTGGGAAGGTTTAAAATCCCAGCCAGTGCTCTTCTGACCTGTGAAGCAGGCTTGCGGCCCTCTGTCCCCACTGCTGGAGACCTAGGATGGCAGCCCTGCAGGGGCCCTGCTCTGTGCCCGCCCTGCCCCCAGGCCCAGGAAGGTCAGTTCCCACAGGCCCAGCCCCTCCCCCACCAGGCCACGGTCCATCCCCTTTGTGGGGCCGGGACAATGTCTCCGCGGACAGAGCGGGGGATGGGCCTCTGGCGCTGTCAGCACCCTGGAGGGTCAGGGGCCACGGGTGCCGGGGCCTGCGGTGTGTGACAGACCCTGACAGCGCCAGGTCTGGGCACAAGTGTGTGCACTGGCACTCCGCAGGCGTGTGTCTCAGAAGTACCCAGGTCCTCGGGGTGCAAGGGTACCAGCTTTGGAGCAGCTGAGTGTGTCCACGTGTGGGCGTGAGTCAGGCGTGTGAACACGGAGCCTGTGTGACCCGGCATGTCACGTGAGGACACGGGGCCTGCGTGAGTGGATGTGCCTTTCAGTGCCCGCCCAGCAGCCTGCAGTGCCCCGCACGTCCGGGGGGTGGGGGTGGGGGTG